TACATATGGGTTCAAATCTATACAGTCTGTTTCATAATAGTTCTATCCAGACATACTAGCCATTTTATGTCCATTATTTGCATATGGATAACACTAAAGACCAGTGGAGTTTACCCATACATCAAGTTAGAACTTTGTATAACAAGAACTTTTCAAGTCATCATTCAGAAAATTAAAATATCTATTTGTAGCAATAGTGACCTTTAAAGTATCTAATGCACTTAGTTAAAACTTTGTATTGTAATTCATTCTGAGGTTATAATCGGGACAAATACAACGACGCAAAACAGTAGTTTAGGCATTGGTGAGATTGACCTTTGGCAGATCTACTGGCGCTAGCCTCACACCAAGTGTGAGCGTTTTATTTCTTTTTCGTTCTCGAGTAACCATCTGGACAAGCAGAGTTTTACATTTAGCAATGATGACCTTGAACTATGGTACACCACATCCACAATCATTAGTATAATTTGTATTCACTAGGAAAATTTACAAAGTTTGAACGTTATTCGTTCTCAATTTACCATCCAGACAATCCCGACCCAACAGAATATTTATTTTAACAACGATGACCGTGACCTCCGGCGGACCATGAACAAAATGAATAGCATTCATTGTATTACCATCGACAACTGACACACTCACGATTGAACGTTATATGATCATCCATGTTCAAGTTATCATCCGCACAAGCTTAACCAAACAGAATTCTATTCTAGTAACGGAGACCTTTACTTCTTAGGGACCATGCCCGAAGTCAATAAGGTGTCTTGCATCTATTAAGGCAAGCCAAACAAACAAACGTCATTGGTTCTAGAGCTATCATCCGGAAAAGCACTACGAATGTCGTACAAAATTCACAGGCGCTAGGGCGCATAAACACCGGATGGTCACCATGATCCAAGTTATTCGTTTCGGCGTAGTATCAAAACGAAAGCACAGTTCACCTATAAACCTCTGTGTGTATACACTTACAGACAAACAGATCTACAAACATTAACACCTGCAGTTAACCCCTGTATACCTACAGCTAGATATAATTACATCTACATACATCAGGACAAACTCTTATCAACGGTTACTTAAAATAACAAGCATACAAAATCAAAATACAAACAATAACAATCACAAACAAGAATAACTTACCAGGTTTGATACATTCGTATTTGACATCCAGGTATTTGAATGTTCCCCCAGAAGGATCCCCAAACACTGAGTTGGAGGCGGAGAGGACACATTTATCCTTGTCTTCACATGCTTGACTGACTTTGACCATGGACGACTTTGCCTCACATTTTAGGTTATGTGAAGCTCGGTGAGGACACAACTTCTTAGTTTTGCGGCCATACATTGCAGAAACTACCCTAATTGTTTCTCCTGCTTCACACTTAATTGTTTTCGTCTTCCATTCACAAAGCACCTCTCTGTGAGACTTATCCTCTGAGGTTATCAGAAATGGCAAATATTAGTATTGTCCTATTTTGACAACATGAACGATTAGTTTATTGCAATAGAGTCCTTTTTATCTCTATGTATTTCTCATGGATCATAACGTTGCTTTAGAATTTTGTGTAAAACGATTTTTAGATTCCTCCTTTAGAAAATACTAAATTTCCTTTGAATACATTTTGTTTATTAGCTAGAAGTGGAAGCTATTTGCCAAGTCCCGCTCCGAAATAAAAAAATAAAATAAAAATAGTACAAGGGCCTTACTCGTACAGGTGTCTTTAAACACACTTATTATGTCTCTTTTTCTATATACATATATAAAGCTTCAAACACAAATAATTTTAGCTTAAAGTTACAAAACAAGCGGTTAAAAATATTAAAGCTGTTTGTTCTATTGACTTCTATCCGCAGACGGATGTGTACAAGAACCTCAGACGGACGACCCAACCTCAATTATATGATGTGGAAAGGTATTATTTGTCTGAACATTTAGGAATCTTTCAATAATTTCAACAACATTTCCACTGCGTTTTTAATCTTCTCATTCACATATATAGACAAGGATCGGCCAATCAACTAGACACAGTGAGTACATTAGACTGTATACACAAGTGCCTACTTCGTACATTCACACAGGCTTGCTGACATATATCACATCCACACATTAGATAAATACAGTATGTCGTGTATAGACACTTACATACATAACAATACATATGTTTATACTAGATAAATACAGTATGTCGTGTATAGACACCTACATACATAACAATACATATGTCAATGACGAATGACTAAAACAACTAGAACAACTACTGATACAGAAACAGATAAAACCTACATGCATTGATTGATAGCACAATTCACAAAGACACTTCAGTATATGTACACTTACCGATATATAGATCTACATTAATACCTGCATACAACCTTATCGACAAACATGTACAATAGGACATTCAGTCTCAATTGCATATAATAGTACCTACACATGCCAATGTCTACTTACATAAGAAAAAAACCCATTCCAACACAAATACAAATAAAAAATACATCGAAATACAATTACAATACAATAGCAAAACATTACTAATGATATGGAAAGGGCACATTCATGAACAACAACATATTACGCCGTTACTTGACCCTGATCTTCAAATTCTACGTTGAACAGATACATTTTCAGTATCTCTTATTTCGCCAAGCACAGCGCACATAGCAACATCACTGAGGAACAAAACAAAGTCAATGAAAAAGACATCTGAAGGCGAATAGTTGGAATCTTTGCTTTCTACAATCGCCAATAAACAACTTAAACCCTTGGTTTTTACTACATTGTATACAATCAACATCAAGGACAGTAGAATCTGTGTCCGTGAAGGCAACACATTCAGAAGATGATTCAGGGAGACTCTAGAGTAGATACGATCTCCCCCTACCTATCTATGCTGAAAATGTGTCCCGTGAAACCTGATATCAGTAGTCACGTGTTAGATGTATTACTTACGAGGAAGGCAACAAAAAACTACTTTCAAAAACATGTTTAGGCTAAACATCGGATCCCGAAAAGGTACCTGTTCAACCGTAAACGACATATATCATTATTTAGACAAAACGAGCAACATACACACATGAATATCACAAATACAATTATGCTTATCATAGTACAGACAGATGCACAAGCAGTAACAAATATCATCATTGTCGTCTAAAGTGTGTGCACAATTACCGCGATCTACTGTGTTAAGATGTTTATAAAGATTCATATCCAATAATAACAAAGTGCCTTTACACTAACACAATATCTGTACAGGACCAAGCTTGCTACGCTGAGATAAATTTATCATTTTGGCAGTTTTATTCAATTATTGTCTATATATTCTTTGCTTTTATTTCATAAATCGAGAAAAATGGATTTATTAAACGTAATTACATGTCATGTTAAGTCTCCTAAGTCATTTTTAAATACCGCGTAAAACCATATAATCGGTCACGCCTTTCACACTTGAATAATTTACGTATCACTTCGTAGATATTTCATTCCCAATGCTACACAAATTATCATTTAATTTCGCAGATATAGATTTAGTCTGCAGGGGGTGATTTTCCACTTAACTGTTTCGCTGGGTATATGTTAGTAGTGTTCTATAAAGTACCGATAAGTTTGAACAGCAAACTTTAGGAGTGGTGGTAGCTTAAGGTAAATGAGACTTACAAACCGAGATGAAAATAATGTCTCAGTAATACATACCAAATTCGTCATGAAGTTGGTTTCAAAACACTTTAACTATTAAATCAATTAACTATAAGGCATTTTTTTAACGTTTACATGTATGTACCTTGCTTGGGAATTCGCTCATTGGAATTCCTCTTTTCTCTTGATACTCGATTTTTCTTGTTTTCTTTAGAATGATGATGTTTCTCTTTGGAATGTCCCTTTTCTTTGTGCTCTTTGCTTTCTTTAGAATGATGATGTTTCTCCTTTGAATGTGCCTTTTCTTTGTGCTCTTTGCTTTCTTTAGAATGATGTTGTTTTCCGTTGGAATTTCCCTTTTCTTTGTGCTCTTTGCTTTCTTTAGAATGATGTTGTTTTCCCTTGGAATGTCCCTTTTCTTTGTGCTCTTTGCTTTCTTTAGAATGATGATGATGTTTTCCCTTGGAATGTCCCTTTTCTTTGTTCTCTTTGCTTTCTTTAGAATGATGATGTTTCTCCTTGGAATGTCCCTTTTCTTTGTGCTCTTTGCTTTCCTTTGAATGATGATGATGTTTTCCTTTGGAATGTCCCTTTTCTTTGTGTTCCATGCTTTTCTTAGAATGACGATGATGGTGTTTTCCTTTGTGCTCTTTGCTTTCTTTCGAATGCTGATGACGGTTTTTACTGTCGTTTTTGCTTTCTTTAGAATGATGTTTTACCTTGGAATGTTTCATGTGCTTGTGTTCTCTTCTTTCCCTAGAATCCTTCATCTTTGAATGGCCCCCTATCTGTGACGTCTGCTTTCTTGTCTTCTCTCCTTTCTCTTGAGTGCTTCTCCTTGGAAAAGCACCCTTTTTTGTGTTCTTAACTTGGCTTAGGATATTTCTCTTTTGAAAGGTTTTTTCCTTCGGTTTGAGCTGTTTTGCCGTAGAAGCCAGTAAGGATGGAGTAACTCGTTGAGGCTTTTTGGCTTCATGTAATACCGATTGGAGTTTACTAGCAGTTTTTCTTGCATCATTTCCTCTACTTGGCTTTGTCTTTGAATTTTCGGCGTGCTTGTGTTCTTTCCTTTCTGTTGAATGCTTTTCTTTGGAATGGCCCCCCTTTTTGATTTTTTTACTTGGCTTAGATTGTTCCCCTTTTGAACTTTTTTTTTCTTTGGTTTCCTTTAGCTGTTTTGTAGTTGCCAGTACGGATGGAATCGTACGCTGTGGCTTTTTGACTGAATGTATTATCGCTTGGTGTTTACTTGCAGCTTTTCTAGCAACATTTCCTTTACTCGGCTTTTTCACCTCTCTGGGTTTTCCTTCAAATGTCAAAGTCATGTGCAATTACTATATTTCTTTATCTCTCAATGATTCATATTTAAATGATCAAAAAGCCATTTTATTAATATTCTTTAAGGGGAAATATGTTAAAATAATTTAAATATCAGTCGGAGGTTTTTCTTCCTCTCCTATTTGTTCTTCCTTTCTTTTTCTACTTCATGTATTGTTATCTAATGTGGTGTGTTACCCGAACACCCACTTTCAAATAGTTCCAGTCAATAAAGTTAAGCTTGCTCAATAAAGTATCAGTATATACGGAGTGAAACTGTATATGCATGTATAATTAGTTATGTATCAGTATAAAGGAATGTTATAAGAAGCTTCTTATCATCTGACATAGAGAGAATGTTTAGGAAAAATCCCTGTCGAATCATGCCATGGTTTCGTTAGACTGGGATAACAAAGCGTAGCAGGAAAGTGTTAAATATTGAATTACAACGCAACATTTCAGGTGTATACCTAGTGGCATTTAATGTCAAATACGAATGAAAAAAATCAACGGTTGATGTAGAATTTGATTTTCTCCTATAACTGTTGTTAAGCACTGCCGTTGGCTTCTACTGATTTCTAATCTTAGTTATTTAGTAGATGATATATTGATAAAAACCTATTATATTTACTCCGGCTTGAATTTCACAACAGCAACACTATGATAAATATCTAATTAATCTATAAGAAAATAATTTCAATAACAATACAACAATCAATATCTTATTAATTCAAATCTACTTCCATCTTAATTTAACAATACTAGATCAAATATCTAATTAAACCAAATCTAATAGCAAAAGCTAAGAAATTGATTCAAATTATCCTGATAACAGAATGTAAAACATGTTTACTTTGTCAGTAATTCAAGTTTGTATCTGTCACATTATCACTACTGCTGTCACATTGATCATCACGTCCTTTGATTATTTATTATCCAACCTCTACGCATTGAAGATACTCATGTTCTATACGGAATAATCATGTGAGATAGGTTTTTTCGTACATAGCTCGCCATGTTATATAGGAGTTTCCCATAAAGGAAAGCTATGTAAGATTAATAGAATAACTCATTCTCTTGGGAGTGAGGTAGGGGAATCTCAACCCGAGGGGGAATATTAACAAATTGCAAAACACGAAGCTTTGCCGAGTGTTTGGCAACCACAAGAAACGTTAGTCGAAGGTTGAGATTTCCAATCTCACCTAAAGGAAATTAATGACTCATTTACTCTTAGCCTGTTCACCGATTGTGTATCATATAATGCAATGTTAACGTTGCAGGTTTAACGCAATGTTGACGTGAAGTTGATACATCGTGGTCGTGACGTCATTGTATTGTTGACATGACGTAAAACAATTGTAATGAACGGGGAATCCCCACGTTTCAACCCTGAGGTGGAGTAAGGATATCTAACACCTGGAAAGGCATGGATGCACCGGTCAAGGCTGAGGGAAAAATCTTTCTTACAATGCAACGGCAAGTTTGACGTCATTTCAATTTATTGAAGTTTGCTTTCCAGTGCAAATACTTTTTCTTCGTTTGTTACGGTTTTATTCATAATCTCAAGTTTATACTTCAGAATAACCAGACTGTGATGCGATTTTTGTTTTTGTTTTAATGACTCAAAATTCAGGTCAGCATTAGAGATGAAGGTATTTTGCCAAAACGATAGCTGTAACACTTGCTACAAGATGGCGGCTACACATCCTTTGTAAATTATTCAGAACACATCACAATATAAAGCCCGTGAAAACGTCGTTTGGTAGTCTGTGACAACATTGCCGATTTATCTTATCTCTGGAACGTAAGAGAGCAAGCTTTTCCTGGAGGTTTAGGAATAAGATAGACCGGATTTGTTGTTCTAAATAAAGTCTTTATATGTGTATATGTTACAGAGAAAATTTGAAATATCAACTTTTATATAATATATTCATGCAATGTCTATGTCGTTAGAAAAAACTACATGTGAGTGAAAAAGTGTCATTCATTATGTAGGTATATGTATGGTGAGAAAATTTAGGGTCAGACCCTAAGCTTTGCCGGGGTTCTGACACCCGATTCTGCATCCAGGGGTTTTCAACACAATTGCAGACAATAACCATGGCAATGCTCTATCAAATAATTTCTCTTAGTATAGGTAAAAAGAAAACTGAAATTTGTTTTACTTATATTGATATGATAGAACAAAATGGAATCTAAATATATTTTACTTATATTTATGTTAAAGATCTAAATGTGTTTCATAACTATCTATTTTAAACAAAATTAAATATAGATATACATTACCAAAATGTACATGTATATTGTAGAAAACAGTTGTCAAATGAATTTTCATTGACTGGACATACCTTCTTTCTTGGATCTTTCTTTAGCTTCCGATAACACTGAAATGGTGGAAAAAATAATGTGAACTGACATTTTATTTTCACCTTTTTATCATTCTGATTTGCTGATTGCTTAATACATTTTTTCCATTTGGTATCTAGATTGATTTGAAAAAAATGAATTATCACTATGAAGCATGAATCGTTATAGGTACCTTTCTACATATTTGTTAAATAAATTTAACTTATTGTATCACTAAATAAAGGACATATCCGTTTTGTCTCTTGTATATAGATGATTTATATACCGTGCTCTATAAAAGAACTATAACAAAAGAGGTGGTCAGTTAAAAGTTACATCAATGCTCAATGCCGTCGTAAGATTTACAATACCTCTGCCGTTACTGTTTTGTCATCATACGATGCCTAGATTCATTTCAAAATAATATCTGAAAATCAATACAGCGAACGTGTTGAATAATTTCACTTTCAGGGAAAACAAGAATTCAAACTCTTGGTGATAGATTATGATGTATAAAAATATGATAAAGCATATAGCTAAGGATTGTCTCTATATTTAACATAATTAGGACCCCGTTTATACTTTTTCGGTATGAAATATAGAAACATAAATTATTGCATTTAATTTCATCGCATTCATTTATTTAACAACCCACTCCCACCTTTATACTGTGTCCCGTCGCTTTGATTAAATAAATGAAAAAAAACAATCAAACATCTGATGAAACAAAGAAAAAAGAGAGAAAGAAACAAAGAAAGAATATCCAATTACTTACTGTTATTGAGAAATCAAATACAAAGAAAGAATTTAAGTTAGACAGGAGAAAGAAACAAAGAAAGAAACAAATACGTAAGAGCTACTTACCGCATAGCGCTATAGCCAGAATAAGACATATAAGGAGCGGTGTCCGAAGCGCCCCCATGATGGCTACTGATCTTTCGGATATGATTTGGTATTAACGCCCCATTGAATTTATATACATTTGTCACAATGAAAAAAGATCAGTTAGTGACGGCATTGTTTATTTATAGGTTTTGCTAAATTCGATGATTTTATCAAAGTAATTAAAAAATGCCCAATATCAATTTGATCTGATTTTGTCCATACAGATGGACCCATTCATGTCTTACAATGTGATTTACCATGTCAACATATGACCCCATCTGTATTTACGCGGAAGAATATGTTACTAAATTGTCAATTTGAAACAATATCAGAAATATCGACCTGTATCATATTTATATACTCACATCTGTTACCCAGCTACATCTATAGACTCCGCGGTAACACGTGTATGTGGACGCGTCTTTATCTGAATAATTGAATATGACACTATTCCTTAAATATAACAGTTTTATCGATTTGTTTTGTTTGTTATATTGGACATTTTATGAACGTTTCGTGACATTTTGATATGACGGTAACATAAGGGATAGATGCCTTACAAAGAACACACATGTCTCTGAGAAATCATCACATGGACCATTGTCAAAGATATGATATTACAACACTGCACACCAATCTAATGTTACATACATTATGATTATTGCTTCAAAATAATTTCAGGAAATTTTTAATGAGTTGGGAGATATCAAATGCTTCAGAAAACATTTAAAAAAATAATGTATGCAACACATCGACCTGTCCTGAAATGAACACTAAACGATAAAAAATAAATAAAAAAATATTATCATTCTTTATGAGCCAAAAACAAAAATGTCGCTTAAAAATCGTTCAGTCCGTTACCGCGGTATTGACGTGTAAAGTGTACGATTTTCCTTCTATTATTAATTATCATAACCGTAACACGCGATGAATGGGGCCTTATCGGCTGTGACGTCCCACGTTCAACGACTAAAGCAGCCACCATGGACGGAAAAGGCGAAAAATACTATAAAGCGTCAGATTGCGAATTAATATAGTAGTTAACTACTAGTTAATTCGTCTCACTTTTTAATCGATTGCTTTTGAAGTGTATGTAAGGTTTTATCATATTTTCTAGAGATCATTTGAAAACTAAAAAGTTTAATTTTTACAGTCACTAGATTAACGAAAATTGTACAAACAAGGACTAATTTTTATAGCATCCGCATGTGTATTTAGACACATGATTAGAAATTCATTTCATCATTAAAATTTAAAAAAAAAAAGTCCTTTATATGTACGCAGCACGGTAAATATTACCTACACAAGTAAGTGACGACGGAATATATCATATAAGAAGCTAAAACGTTTGTATATCGAACGCACAATCGAAACTTTCCGTACAACTTGTGACGTCACAGATGTTGGCTAAAATGTACCCATATCGAGGCGATCTCCGCCGAGCCAAATGAGTATTTTTCAGATAAATCACAATATCTCGTAAACGGAGTCAACTACGACGTTCGCACTTTCTTAGCCTTGATTGTAGTATATGAACTATTTTCATAGCTTGTTACAGCAAAACGTTCATGGTACACTTTAAGTCAATTTCTATTTCAGTTATCTTTTTTGTGTAAACGAAGATTTTTGTATAAATTGTTTCAATAAAATGGGCTTGTGAGACGAGAAGTTATCACAGGAGAAAGACATTTCAATTTTTAATAGGCCTATACATGGTCTTCTAGTTACGTCATTGTTTGGTTTACTTAATATGAAGTCTAATTTGCAGTTTTAAAGTGGTATGTCACTTTAAGTGAGCTGTTGGAAGTAAACAATCTTCAGCATACACATACGCACTTCTTCACAGATAAGGACGTACTAAATGGGTGACATGGTAAGATTATTTGAGTAACGATAATCCCTCACTCTCTGTGTGGTCGAAATATGAGTCTGTTATCGCTTGAATATTATACGCCTTTCACTTCAAATTAAAGGGCGCTTTACAAATATTTGTTATTGATTATTTTTGAGAGCATAATCCCAAACGAGTGATGGTTGGTTATCATGTTTATGTAACTCGAGTTTGTTAATTTTCAAATCGTATAAAGACACCAGGTTTACAAGAGTGAGATAAAGGTGATAACTATTCAACATGAGTTTGGGAACCTGTTTCCCCCAAAACGTTCGTATTTGATCTAAAAAAGCACCTGGAAAATACATCATGTGTGTTTCCGTTGGGGAAACAACTGCCATGGATCATGAGGTCACAATGGAAACTGACGTCAAAAAGCATTGCTATGTGACGTCATCAATCAAAGATTGACCAATGAAATCCTGTCCAGGATGTTGCAAACTAGTAGGTAACCATCTTCTAGTAGGTAACCATATTCTAGTAGGTTTATCCAATGAGTCATAAGTGAGGAAACCTAGTGGCTGAGGGAAAAAAATCAGTTTCCGTTAAAAACTGATCGAAAATGGAAATAAAGACGTTCTAAAACTTAGAAGAAAGAGTAAAAAATGTATCATTTTTGTCATGGATAATATGAAGTATTGGCACATTGCAGCTCATATATTGCATCAAATATTATCTACAAATAAGAATGACTTTTTGCAGTTGTTTATGTTTGATTTATGAGACTAATAACACTTGGTAGGAATAACCATTATGAAATTAAAGTGAGAAATAAATTGTACATAAAAGTATTGCTGATTTATTTAGTTCGTTTCCATGCCGACAGTGTTAGAATTTGTTAGTTAACGGAGTGTGTTACCGTTTATACACGGTTTGCAAAGCTTATGTACATGGCTTATTTACATGTATAAACGGTGTGTCTTTGAATGCGAGTGACATGGTGTGTCTTTACGTGTACCATGTTTGTGTCTTTACTTGTACTTGATTTGTTTATACAACAGCATTAAATGTCTATACAATTAGGACATGTGATGTCAATTCATGTTCATTGTGTGTCAAAACATGTAAATGGTGTGATTATGCATGAACATTGTGTATATATAGACAAGTACATGGTTTGCAGCATGCGTCTTTATGTGTACATGGTATGTCTCCACGCCATATGTCTTAATGTCAGTGACTTATTGTCAAGTCCACATATTCAGGTATGGTTTCCCCTCAAATTTGAAATAAATTACACCAGACTTCGTTTTCTTATTCCAACATTAAGAGCAAAGTGGCAATATGTGTGATATCACTATCACCATATGACAAACGTGACCTTCCTGTCATCCGTAATGACCAGTCATTCCTGTAACATGTAATATCATATTAACTCAGTCCTTGTTTTAAATATCATTTCTGTTTGACAGATACGGCATGATGAAAAATAAACAGCTTGTCCATGATGCTTTATCAGACATCCTTTAATAAACGTTGAAGATATTATGGTTCTTGTCATAACCTGATTTACAACTGGAAGATTTCATTGTCGGTCGTGATTAATGACTTATACACCGGCTAGTAGGAAGTGTGTTACAGACTTTTCTCCGTCCGTCTGGATTCACGTCTGTCTTTTTCCTGGCCTCCAGATTTGTAAAGTTTACCGTTCATTTACCTCTTGATTATGCGGGTTGCTGTTGCGTTCTACTGTTATTGACATTTAATTTACATATCTATTTTGTTATATTTTGTACCTATAAATTATAGCATTAATAGCCTCAGTTGAACTCACGGAATGTCGATGTAATTAACATATTGTAATTGTTACCATCCATCTTCTAGGTATTCTGCATGTTCGTTCAGAAATGTCAGTTCACTCTGTGAATAATGTTTTGTTATCTGTAGCACGTAATTCAACTACGTAGTGAACTCTTATGAAGTAATCATTAATCATGCATGTTATCAAAGGCCGTTCGTTTTTGGTGATTTCGGGCTAAGCGGTTAGGAATCGTGGTGTGTGAGGGTTGACAGCTGGATCAGCGGAGATACTGGTGTGTGTCATTTGGTTTTCAGTGTAGGTCCGCACTGATTTCATCAATTAAAGTGGAACCTGTGTTTAGAAAAGTGTTTGTTTCCGTGATGATTTCTTCTGTGAATTTCACGGTTGAATGGAAGGTGTTCGCGTACTCAATAAATTCGTGAAGTGATTCCCGGCCCATTGTCCATTTGATTTCGACATCATCGATGCTAATGGCTTTGTAGGACAGATTTTAAGAGTTGTTCATAAATACATTAGCATATATTGGGGCCATCTTTGTGCCTATAGCTGTACCGCTAGCTTGCATGCACATTTATGGGATCACACATCGTTACACGATGTGCGGTGTGCGGCCGATGTGCGGCCGGTGTGTACACGATGTGTGCACGATAATAAACTTAACTATTATTGCCTGCGCACAATTGGACGATGGAAGAACAATGTGCGTTGACACTTGTGGTTGGTAAAATTAGAAAATTTGTTTTACAGTTTATACGGTTTCGTATTTAAATATAAAAAAATGGATACATGTGCTTTATTTTTTAAGAATGTTTCTATATTCTAGCTACATATCTGTATGAGCTGATGGTTCGGTGTTTTTCAATCGAGCAAAATCCACACATGTAAAATTATAACACATATGGACACGATCCCATTCAAATGTGAAATTGTTAATTGTGATGACAAGTCTAAGTAAATCCACCAGACTATTAGTCGATGAGTGTTTGATACTACGTCGTTCCCATGCATCACGACAGTCAGCAATTCCGTCGTCATGTGGGATGTTTGTGTAGAGGGAGACGACGTCCATCGCTTAATTCAGTATGTGACTAATAAAGTGAAACTGTGTGCCTGCAGGGCGTCACGAAACAGGTAAGAGTTTTCTTAGCATGATGTCAACACTTCTATTTTAGTTATATTCATTTACCTGCATGATAATTATTTGCATTGTCTGACATGAACAGAGAAGTATGATCAATGTGACTATTTGTCATTTTAAAACATACTCCAAACGGTATAGGACCAATGATTCTCGGAATGGTGGATACATTTGTTGTACAAATAATGAAAACTAATACATTTCGTTGCACGAGATAATCATGAAAGTTTGTACCTACGACAGAATTAAAAAGATCCAGACCATGAAAGAAGTACACACGAATGTTAAACAGATAATGAAA